AAAAGTTACACTATGTTTTTTTTTCAGCATGAGAATATTTCTTTATGCAGTTCAGACACTGTAGATTCTTACATATCTTACTCAGAGGATGGTACTGATAGATTACCACAATCTAGTTATGATGCTGCATTTGTTTTGGGATCAGCATTTGTATCGCTAGAGTAAGTATTATATATCAAAGTATATGAAAATAATACCTGGGTAATTACTATTAGAGACCTGCTTTTGCACCCTTGCTGGGCTCATACCACTAATTGAAATTCCATAGACGACAATGTTAACATATGACAAGATTGCTATATGAAAATGATAAACAAAGTTGAAAACATGGCTCCAAAATGGGAAATCAACTGCCAGTAATCAACCACATGAAAAAAACTAACATGTTGGCAAGCTCAAACTCTTGCAAATCTCAGGTAAACAAGACACACCTACTGTATTTGGATTGCACCTAGAGAAATCACTGGAAAAACATCAAGATTAGAACATCCAAATACACACAGAATAAACCCACAGATACACAGCAGCAAAGTAACAAACAAAAGACCACATGTTAGTCTCACCATTGACCCAGCTGATGCACACCCTCAAACAGGGCGCACCTGAGAAAAAAATATTTAAAAAATTTCATTGGTTCTTGCAAGGCATTTAAATTGAAAGGTAATTGGTTGATGAGACCTGGATTGGGTTGGACTTAATATTCTAATTTGGCTGGTCATTATTGTTCAACAGCTGTCAAGTTAAAATTAGTAATTTGCATGGATAATACATAATTGTTTTCTTTTTACTGGGATCAAATTATGCCTGGTATTGTAGATTTCTCTGAAAGTGCATCCATCAATCTGTAGCGATAATCACAGTCTTGTGATCAATCTTAAAATGATCCCGCATGGACTCTCCTCTAGAGGGCTACATACATGTACCTGCATATTTATATATTATACAGTGGGATGAGAGACGTACAAATGGACTACATAATGCTTTAATAATGGCCTAGAGTAATCTCCAGTGTGAACCAGCCTACCATTAATTTTACCATTAGTTGTCCA